TTTTTTTTTAACAACGAGGTGCGGTAGAGCGCTTTGAAGTAAACAATAATGAAAATGAAAAGTAAAAAAAAAGAAGACATGGCCTTTTCCAGTTAGAGGTAGGTGGAGAAATTCAAAGGTTTGATTCAGAGGACCGTCATTACATATATACATACAGTCACTGCACAAAATAATGCACTTCTTCAAGATTTTCTTCCATCTTTTACAAATTTGGCTGGTAGATAGAGTCCCACCTAAGCATTAAAATGTTTAAATGTTTTGACTCTTTAGAGCTAACTGATACTGTCTCAAAGTAACAACGTGTATCCGCCGGTGGAAATTTGTAGCTTGCTCCATTTCCAACAGGTTTAAAGGTACGAAATGTATTTTATTCTCTTCCACACTTCTCTAAAGTTAATAATGTAAAGGTAAACGTACGATTTTTTTCTGAAAAACATTTATTTTTGTTATTTGGTTTCGTATATAAAAAAATGGGTCTCAACTTCAAAGCATATTTACTTGACAAATCATAAGAGTAAGAATACAAGTGCTATAGTCGCGTTAAAATACTTTGATTCAATAAATGTATCTCCAGATTAGCGGTTCAACACTTTAAATGCCAAAATCAGCTTCCTTCAGCGGTAGCAGAGTAATTGAAAACAGTCAGTAAAATTTCTGACAGAAATTCTGTTTTTTACACAATTTTCATAATTCCTGCTATAACTCAATTTTTTCACTGTCACGCTCAATTAAGGACTTAAAATTCACCAAAGGAGGAGTTCCGTCTTAAAAAATTACTCGCCGTTTTTCTCAGCACATTTTGAAATGGTTGCCTTACAAATTCTTTACCATCAATAAAGAATAATTAAAACTTCTGAAAGTTATGAGAGTTCCGATATCACTTTTCCCAAGTAAAGCTACAAATACTTAATCTTGTTAGAAAAAAAATAAGTCAAAGATTTTTAGAATTAATTATTTTCGTTCAAAAACCACAGCAGTTCACCATTTTTAGAAAGGTCTGAAGTGGTTTCAAGACGTGTTGCTCAGACAGTCCCTTAGATTTTGTAACCCAAAATCAAGGTTTCTTTCTAAGCGAAAGTAAAGGAAAATAAAAATATCCGCTGAAGAAGTGCTCGATTTGATGTGGGATATACTAGTCCAAAACTAAATTATAAAAAAGACACAATTATTTCAAGTTTTTCATCCAGGAAATCGCTATACAAACATTGATAGCAGCAGTAATCAGAAAGGATCCTTCTTCCATCTTTAAACTTTTTTCTCCTCCTTCTTCTTTTTCTACCGATCCCTTCGTGGAAATGATTAAACATATGACAGTTAAATTTTACTTTTTCATAATTTCTAACTTTTAGATATATAATTGCAAATATTTCAAAAATAGTACTAGAAAAAATTTAAAAGTTCTTAATTTTTTCGCTTTTAGTTTCCCTTTTCTCGCTGCCTGCATTAAGCACGATTTTACTGTATTTTTCTTCTCGTGAAGCAAATTAAAATAACTTTCCTTTTGGCAAAAGTTTTACCCGTTTCATAAACATAAGTATGAAGAACTAATCTCTTAAACTTAGAAATTACATTAACACGTAAAAGATATTCAAATAAAATTTGATTACTGTGATTTAAGAAGGTTGAGGAAAAGGCAATATAATGATAATACCGAAAAAAAAAAAACAAAAAAAAAAATGCAACTACCTAAATAGAAAGTGTGGATACGAGTTGGAATTGACGAAAAAAAAAACATTTCTTTCAAATAAACCCCCCATAGCCATTTCTATTCTTGAATCACGCCCATGTTTTGCCATCAAATAAAAGAAAAAATGTTGTTTTGTACATACAATAATACAGTGGCACTATCTTCTCATAATGATATCTTCATCAGCTATACCCTCTTCCTCATTTACGTTTTTCTGATTCTTCAAAAACAATCCGCACAGCTGATATACTACGCACACTTTTTGCAAATTAAACGTACATTTTCCTGCAACATCCAAATTGTTCAATCAATTTATCATATTCTTACCAAATTCTTCCATTATTTGTAACCTTCCCACACATCGAACTGGCAGATTTGTCTTTTTTCACCTTGTATTTTTTCTTCTTGTATAAGAGACTGCTTCTAGCACACATACATTGCGGCAAGAAAAAGAAAAACAAAAAATACCACTTTAGTGCTACAACTTATGATCAGTCTTATCAATTAACCTTTCATAAAATGTTTAACAAAAAACTTTCAAAAAAAAACCCATGAAGACGCACAGATAGAGATAAATAATAAAGACAGAAATGAAATATAATTCAATCGAATAACAACCAGCAGAACTAAACCTTTAAACTTTAATACCAATAGATAATCCACTACCAATAAAACGCTTGATATTCCTTTTTTTTCAACCTACTAAAGCAAGACAATTAAAAGCCTTGATATAGAAAAGTCTTGATAGCTTTAAGTCAGTATAGAATTTGCGAAGTTTTTAACTGTCAAAAAAGCGGTAAGAACAACGTGATTGAAAAAAATTTTCTCACAAATTTAATTGAATTAACAGTCACTCTATCAACGAAATGAAGTATTAGACAGTTTTACATAGAAAAATAGTCTGGAATTTCGCTCCTCATCTTCATTTATCTTAAAAGTCCTATTAATAAACTTAAAAAGAATAGTTGATCATTTCTTCTAATATATTATAGTTTTTCCTTTACCGTTACCTCTTCCTTACTTCTTCTCTATTTCTGCCGCCATCGACCATCAGTCAGTCAGCTATTTAGTCAATTACTTAATCACAGATTCAATCTTAAATCTAAATTTTTAATAATGACTGATCAATCCCTAAAAAAAATTACTCATAATTTAGTTCCACCTCTGCACAGAAAAAAATAAAAATAAGAGAAACTGAAAATAGTAATAACGATAAAAAGACTAACATGTCTCTCACACTTCTTGTTTTTAGTGCCATTATCCTGTCGGGTAAAGAATAGAATGAGACAGCAGCGTTGTATAAAAAAGTTAAGTTAATGTCATACTTTGACGTATATAATATCTGTAAACGCCCAAAATCAGGCATTGAAAGACAGCAGAAATAATTTTACGGTTCTTCCGCTACGATAACACGAGATTTTCCTGCTAACTAAAAACGTTTCAAAAGCGTAGTACTTTGCAAAAGCGTCAGTAGTCTTTATGTAAAATCGAGAAGAAAAGGTAATATATGTACATATATATAAACATGTATAGTAAAAAAACTTTTAAGAAAAAACCCCTTTGAGAAATGAAAAAAATGGTGTTTATGCCTGTGTTTCAGAAAAATTTTATCCTTCAACCAGTTACAGTCTTTTTTTGATGAAGTAAAGATATAAGATAACTTTCTAAGCATTCTTATTTTAACCAACTCTCGAAATTTCACGATTATTAATGAGTGGTTTTATAACTAACTAGATAATTACGGTAGTTTTTTTTTTTTTTTGCAGGAGTTCTAGTTACCTACTGGAAGAGAATTTTTATGTTTAACAACGCTTTTGACAAAATAAACGTTATTTACAACTTATGAAAGTACTCTTATACCTTCCTTCAAAAAAGACGAATTGCTCTGTGCAGTGAGCTTTTTTTTTTTCACATACAGAAAAGTAAAAATAACTTTTCATAAGCAAATAACGCCTTTTACACACTGGTGCAACAGATTAAATTATCAAGCTGTAAAAAAGTAAAATGACCTCACAGGGTTTCATAATGTGAATTTCTTTCGAATAAAAACTTTAAAATGTGTTATTTTTTTCCAAATGGTCTTACCTGGTAAGTGTAACTGATAAAAAAACGTGAAGTGAGAAAATTAACCCTAAGTGTCTAGACAAGCAAAAGAAACCCTAGGTATTCGATAATGAGGGTATGATTTCCCATATCAGAGAAGATTACTGTTGACAGCTGACTGACTGCAGAAGTCCAAATTAAAACAGTTACGTGAAACACTCAAAAACGCATCATCTAAACAAATAGCATATAGGAAGACTAAATAAATGAAGAAACCAAAACTAGAAATTTTTTGCATTATTATTCTTCCCTCTTGAGCCTCATATCCGAGTTGTCTTTTTCTAGATAACAACTTTTCTGGTAAAAGCAGTATGTATATATACTGTATATATTTCATAATGAAAACTAGACGGAAGTCTTAGAAATTTTAGGTATTACTTAGGTATTATTAAACGACCAGTCAAAAGAGAATTTTTTGCCGCAAAAAAATTAATTATGGCACTGAATGCTAGTCACCAAAATATGTTAATAAGACAATTAAAAAGCGAAATTTCTTGTCCAGAAAAGGCCTAAGCTCAAAATTACAGACGCTTCTTTAAAATAGTATTTATGACAGAAATCGCAGTATGTCAAACAACAGATCCTCTAATCCTTTCAATCCATAAAGTTCAATTAAAAAATAGAGTTGTTTACTACTAAATGAAAAATCAATCCTTTAAACGTTTAACACTTAATTGCGTATATCTTTGAAGTGTTAATGTTCTAAACAAAAACACTATTAAAACCGTAGGAGAAAAATAATTAATCAGTGACCCAATCGTCATCGGTTAGTTAAATCAAAAAAAAAAAAATCATATGTTGTTTCTTCATAAAAACATATCAATGTCTTTATTGATTCCAACCTGAATGACCCTAGTAGCTTCTTCAAGAATGGATTATATAATGTTCAAGTTCAAAAAACAAAAATTAAAAAAAAGACGACGAACAACCTTACCGGTCATCTGGTCCAAGCCGACGAATCACCCGTGTTCTAATTGGATTTGCTGAACCATCCGACATAACGGTTTTAGGATCCTCAGTCTATAAACACCGCTTTTTACAGTAATATAAGTCAACTTTCATTTGCTGGAAACCAGAGTCCGACTTGGTTCCAAGTTTCTTTTTTTTTAATTTAAAAAAGAGATAAAAAAGAACTTTGTTCTTTATTGCTAACAGTAGTGGGGTTAAGCGAATAAAAGGTAAACGGAAAAAACAAATGCAAAATAGCGCCAGAATCATGGTAAATCTTTGGTGAAATCTCTTTCCTTCATCTTTTTCTATAAGACGCCCAACAAAGAACATAACTCTTCGTATTTTTTCCAAAAAATATTCAAATAATGAATAAGTAATTGAATCAATAAAGTGTTATTTGAAAAAATTCTTTTTTTTTGACATCCTTGTTGTTGTTAATGTTGTCGTTGTAGTTGTTGTCAAAAGCCAAAATTTGATTACAAAAAAACAGCAACGATTTTCACACTTAGTTCCCTCTTCCCGTCCCCGTCATCTTCCTTTTGGCGTCCTTTCAAGTCTTTTTCATAGTCATCCTCATTTCCTAATTGATATCCTCCCTCTCTATCCACCCCCTCTCCGTATTTTATGCTTTGTTATTCCAAAGTTACTGGAGTTTTCGCTCATCCGTCTATCTGCTCGTCCTGTAAACCCATTACCATCACCAAAATTAGCGTCACCAAACAACCCGTAAATGGGCAGTTTGAAGAGTCGAAAAACCATAAATTGCATCAAACACTCTCAGTGTAAGTAACCAACAGCCTTGCTGCCACTAACATTAGTTAAAAATTGAAGTTTTTTCATGATTGCTTGCTCGCTTATTTGTTTGTTAGCTTGACTGTCTGCTCAAAAAACTAATTGCCGAAATCGAAAGGTGCTCAAGTTTTTTTGCTTTCTATTTCCCGCTTCCTTTTTTTCCCCCCAACCTCCCAACCTTTTTTTGAAATCTATTCCTGCTACACTAATATTAGAAGCAGAAGAAAAACAGAAGGG